CCATGGCTCTAATACAGAATATAGCTAGTCCTGCTGAGCTCTCCTAGAGGGCGCTAGGCTCTCCTAGAGGGCGCTAGGCTCTCCTAGAGGGCGCTAGGCTCTCCTAGAGGGCGCTAGGCTCTCCTAGAGGGCGCTAGGCTCTCCTAGAGGGCGCTAGGCTCTCCTAGAGGGCGCTAGGCTCTCCTAGAGGGCGCTAGGCTCTCCTAGAGGGCGCTAGGCTCTCCTAGAGGGCGCCAGGGTAAAGGGATATCGAAAAATAGAACACCATGGCTCTAATACAGAATATACGGTAAGTGTTTTTGCTAACTTTTTCAAATGAAGAATAGCTAACAAATAAAGAAAAGAAAACCCAGAACTTTTGCTTGCTTGAACACTTTTACAATTTCACGTAAACACAAAGATATTCAGTCAACAAAGGTTTAGATATAAAACGAGTAGAATAAATGCAAATTTTCAGGTGCAATACTATTCGAGAGAAAACGGTAATAGTAAATAGTGAGTAGATATTCAAAATAGTGCGTTTAAACTCACTTGAAAGCGACGCTTGGAAAGCCGCCCTTGCAGATCGTTTTTTTGTTCGGATAGACGCAAGTCATTTGCTTAAAATATCAGAAAAATTGAATAGCAAATGAAATAAAACTAATTTAGTAATGTTACCTGTTCAGATAAATCGATGATCTCGTTGTTCTCACGAGCATACTGAATCTCCATGCAAGCGGCGGTGCTGAAAATTTACGTACAAATGGCTTTTTGTCCAAAGAAGTGACAAGGTTTTATTGAAGATTTACTGTATTACTGTATCACTATATCACTGTATCACTGTATCACTGTACTACGTTGAAATTCTCCAAACAAAAACTCCTCACGCGAACGCCCAACAGCTGCCACAGCTTCCTTGATTCTTCACCTCTGGCACCACATCTTTGTCTCTCCAATCGAAAGATTCGGGAAGCTCCTGAAAAGTTGAGTGATTGCCTAGATAAACGCGATCGTAACTGAAAGAAATCTTAGCCCTACATCATCACTGCTTTCCTCTTCATCATCTCTTCGTTTTCTCGTATTTTCTTGTTTCTTCACAAAGCGTTTCGCTGACTTTAAAGCAGCAAGCTGAAAAGTTGAAATGAAAAAGTTCTGTTTTTTATTGTTTTTTATAAAGATAATCAATCAAATCAATCAAATCAACCAATCAATCAACCAATCAATCAATCAATCAATCAATCAATCAACCAATCAATCAATCAATCAATCAATCAATCAACCAATGAATCAATCAAATCAATCAACCAATCAATCAATTAAATCAAATCACCTGTTCGCTCCTTTTATGAAGGCTAGAGCCGGTCTGATTCGCGTCTCTCTTGTGTCTTGGTGGTTTATCTTTCAATGGGATGAGAGTCTGAAAAAGTTGTTAACGCAATTTATTGAGTAGCGAGAATGGAATGGCGTCGAAAGTAAAAGAAATTTCTAAAATTTATAAACTGTGTCTTTGTCAAATGTCAAATGTCAAACTTTGTCAAATGATACGCGTTTGATGGAAAGATTAACTAATTCTCTACAAAATCACATTTAAAAGAAAATTCAAACAGCGCCTCAACTCGACAAAAGGCGACAAATCTATAAATTGTCATCTAGAGAAAACGGTTGAAGGGATCTTTCTGAAAATTTGACAACTTATGTAATTGAGTGTGCTCTATCTTTATTATATAGATACCAAAAGAGGTTTATCTGGAAGAAACTGTTCAAACGATGAGTCGAACTCTTTCCCATTTAGACTAGCGGTGTTTCGAAACGAAAGAAAAGCCACGAAAGAAAAGCCACGAAAAGCAAAGCTTTGCGGAATCTCTCAAAAGTGATTTTGTAGAGGAATCGTAGACGCTTTTGATGAAACAAAACGTGTATTTAAAGAAGGCTTTATGCGTGCAAAAAGTGTCTTTAAAGTTCGCCGCCATTTCATTCTCTTCAACCTAATAATTAAGAGCTAAAGTCTCCTCTTCATTCCGGCATTCCGGCAGGTGCATTCCGGCATTCCGGATGCATTTCGACTTTGTAGTAAAGATCTTTCTTCAGCAAGTCTCTCAAATAGCCATTGCTTTGCTTTTTGCTTTCAAAAAGCTTTATGGAATCTCTCAAAAGTGATTTTGTAGAGGAATCGTGAAGCCTTTTTGATGAAACATTTAAAGAAGGCTTTATGGGTGCAAAATGTGTTATTAATTAATTATAATAATTCGGTGCACTCACAGCTAAAGTCTCCTCTTCGTCGAGGTCCATATAGGGATGCATTCCGACTTTGTAGTAGAGATTTTTCTTCAGCAAGTCTTTCAAATAGCCATTGTTCGAGACGAAATTTGTTGCCGCTTTGTCGCCATTTGATCTGCTGATCTTTTTCGCGTATCTAAATATGATAGAAAAGAGTGTTTCTTTGAAGTTTTGTATTTCTTTGAGAGTTCTGTGGTCTTCTGAATTTCATTAGCGATCAGCTTCATCAGCTAGTTTTTAGCTT